CTATAACACACATCAACTCAAATATTTGAAAACAAGTGCCCGCCCCTCCATCTTCCCTCCCTTTTGCCAATCCCATCATGCCAATTTTAGCTGGGTATTCCCCTGACATTACTTAACGGGAATTTAAGTCTTAAGTGATGACGCAGTTTAAAAAAATAAAAATACAACACAAATTTACCTTAACAACAACCATTCGTAACTAAAAGTTATATAAAAATCAGAAGATCCTACTTAATTAATAAAACGTGCAGAGGTATTGTACACTTGTGATTAATTTATAAATATATTATATATATATATATATATTAAATTAGTATTTATTTATTTTTTTTTTATTTCTATTTACTATATATTAGTTATAGTAAGTTATAGTTAATCTAAAATCAATTAGTTAAAACGTATCTGTAATTCATAATATTATAATGTATTACAATTAAAAATAAATTTAAAAGGAAACAAAGCTTTTCTACATTTAAGACATCATTGCTAAGGTAAATGATCGACGGAAACACCATGACTTATTTACATGACTTAAAACTAAACAATCTAAATGTCAGGCCTGGCTCACATTGATAATGTTATATAGTATAGATGCTATAACTTCTTAAAGATGAACTATGGTTTCTCAAGCATCCATTAATGAAATTGATTTTCATGGTTTTTCTTTGCTAATTTTAGTTTTTTTTGTTTTTGTTTTTAATATTGTATGATGTTTACAGGTATTTAGTATGCGATTATTTTGATACTGTACCATTATGTACCAAATGCTTTGAACTTGAATTATAAATACATGGACCAAAAATATTGCACTGTGGGCTGAGATACAAAATATTTCAGTTTCAGACCACAAATTAACTTTTGAAAAATTGAAAAACACTTAAGTGTGCTAAATATTTTCTTTAAAACGCTTCCCACTTTTTCTCAACTCCTCTTTTAAACATTTCAGATGGCACATTTCGGTAAGAATTTATGTTGTAATATAAAAAAATATTAAATCAATTAAGTAACCTTTTTAGTTAAGATGATTAAATAAATGATTTACAATGCATCATTTGATTAATGTATTTCGTCATCGACCTGATTATATACTAATCGTAAATGTACACATTTCAAATTTCCTGTTATATAATCATCGCAAAGAAACATGTGAGTTACATAGACGTAGCTACTATATTCTATAAGATAGTGTGTTCCCAGATTTGAAGTAAAATCAAATGGACAAGCTGGGCTGTTATTAGACAATTAAGATTTTTTTGTTAGGATTAAGGCGGGGTGGAAGTGGGGGCATATCAGACGTCAACTACAAATTACTGTACCGGAACTCGTGCATCACATTTGTTTCCCATTATGCATGTTATGTGGTGGTCATAAGTTAGACATAGCTACACCCCTGGGCCTGGAGGCAAGACTTCTAACATTGTTTGTCATATAAAGAACATTATTTTATTTTCTAACATAACTCATGAAACATCCATTTTTGCCGCCTGAATATTTCTTGAGTGGTTCACTGTGCTCTGTTCTCTGTGATATCTTCATTTGTCCTGTGTGCTGAAGAAAAGAGGGGGGGGGGGGACAACAATGAATATTTCTTGAGTGGTTCACTGTGCTCTGTTCATTGTGATATCTTCATTTGTCCTGTGTGCTGAAGAAAAGGAGGGGGGGGGGGCAACAA